ATTATTGGCTTATCGGACTATAAAAAAAATTTAACTTTATAGCTATATATCATGGATCTATATCACAACTCTTATTTCTGGTTATTTGTTTTCAACCTGCAAATATATAACTCTCCTTATTACCTTTAGTTAATTTTTACATAGTTCATATTTATACATTTTTTATAAGTAAGTTGGGAATATGTACTGGGAATATATATGGACAATGGGAGACCTTCAATTGTTTATGATAAACAAACTTAAACATTTTTTAGAGGAAGAAGTTTTGAAAATTTGGTATTTAAGCCTTATCGGACTATTTCAATGAGGATAAAACATAACTGATAATAAAAATAATTCAATTTTTTTTTAATTGAGTTTAATCGAAATCAGTGACTTTAAGCTGGTTTTAATAAAATTATCGTTAGATGTGTTAAATTAATTTTAAAAAGTGGTACTTCCAATAAGTTGATTTTAGTTAAATTTTATAATAGCATCCCAGGTAAATACCTACCTAAAATATTTAATGTCAATGTTGTATGTCTTCTGGTTCAGAGTTATATGTTCAAATACGTACACATCACAGGCGGATCTACGGGGGAGAGGAGGGGAACTTTCGGGCTGAAGCTAAAGGTAAAAAATATTTTAAAAATATCTGTTAAAGTGTTATTGTTCATGTAATTACATTTAATAGGACTTCAAGAATCACTTAAACACTATTTCATGTAGTTAGTTAGTTTCTCTTTTTTCCAATGTAGTTATCATTATATCTATGAAAAAAAAGCTTTCGGGCTGAATTCTCCCAAAATTAAATCCTGGATCCACTAGTGGTACACACAGATCTTTTTGGGAGACTTATTTGTTTGGACTCAGAGGACCTTGAGATATGTACTTTTGTTGAAAATTCAGATTCTAAATTTTCATTTATTTATTTTATCACTTTCCACATATACCAAAGTTTGTCAGGTAAATTTGTGTCTTCTAAATTTTTATGATCATAATAATTTCCCCTATTACATACTTCATAGACACAGGTAAATGAAAGTATTAAGCATGCATTTATTCTGCTACAACAAAACCTGTGTTTAATAAGGGCACTAACGGATCCAGGATTTAATTCTGGAGTGGCTTCAGCTCAGAAGATTTTTTTTTTATGTATATATTATGATAATTACTTTAGAAGAAAGAAGGAAACTAAGTATCTATTTGAAATGACATTTAAGTGATTCTTTAAGTCCTATGAAATGTAATCAGATGACCAATAATACTTTTAGAGATAATTTTTTTTTCATAAAACATGGTTATATTTTACCATTTGTGGGGACTTCACCTCAAAAGCTCTCCCTCCTTCTGTAGATCTGCCTGTGATTAAGGGAGTCATAATTAATATACTGGCAGAAATAATTATTTATAGTTATACAATCCTAACTTTTTTTAGCTCAATTTTGCTAATGAAACAAGCAAAAATAGTGTTTATGTACTCAATCCTTCAATTATAACTTACTATGATTAATCTTTCTAATTTTTTATTTATAAAGAATAAGAAAGATTAATCGGATTTGTTTTATAGATATAAAACAAACTCGTTTTTGAGTAATACCATTAAATAAGAATAACTTATAAAAGTAACAAAAATATTTCAAAAGAGAAATCATTAAAAAACTTATATTCTTTGTAATCTAATGAGTTTATTTCATTTTATATTAAAATAAAAATATGTGCTTCAATCTAATTTCACAATGAGCCATTTAACAATTAAATGTTTTGTTTATTGTAACACTAATATAGTGGTTATAATACTTATTTAGGTTCTTTTATTAAATTTATTTGTCTTAAATATTAAATAAAATTCTCTGACAAAATTAATTAGATGAATATTCAAATGAACAGAATGACATATAAATGTATTGCCTCATTAAATAAAAATAAATTATTTAAGATCTGTAATTTAAACTGTATGTTTTAATTAGTACATAAAACTCTTGGAAAAAATTCTTTAATTTTTTAACTCACACACACATACATATATTTATAACTTAAAAGTAGTTTAGTTGCTTTTATATTCTGTAACCATTTCTCTTACTATGTAGGTTACTGGAGTGGATTCCAATTTCTGGTCTTCCCATTGCTAATTTCACTTTCATTAGGCTCACAAATCCTTGAGGTCTGTTTAGTCTATGATAGATGTGACAAAGGGTACATAACTGTTTTCCTTGGTGGGGTAAGAATGGGACACTGATAACTCAGAACAGGGATCATTAGTTCACTGACAGGATTCAGCCAGGTAAGGCAAGTCACAAATGGGAATATGCAAGGCAATATCTCGGTAAGCAAGTCCAAATACTTTTCTTTTTTTTTTTTTGTATTTTTATGTTAAAAAAGAAAATTAATATTTATGTTTAAATTGGTTATTTTTAATATTTTTTTCATTAGTGTTCATTGACCTCATTATTTATTTTTCTCATGTTTTCAAAACATTCAATCAAATATAACAAGGAATAAAAATTAATTTTGTATTAATAAAATTGTTTGGGTTCGATATTTCATAATATAAATAGAATTAATTCATTTTCATTAATGTAGTATAGGATATTAAATATTTAAAAAATAAGAATGATTTTTTTTTTTTTTTGGTTAATTTAGTTTGAAACAGTTAACTCCTCACTTTCTAATACTTTCTAAATTTATACCTATGTATTAAAATAAAGTTGATTTCTTCAATTATGACGTGAATTACAAGTTTTATACATTTTATTATATATTTTGTTTTTGTATTATTATTTTTTTTTTTTTTTATGTACTATGGATAAAAAAAAGAATAAATCACAGGAATTAAATATTTTTTAATAACAAAGTCCAAAGAACATTAATGAAACTTTTCAATTACTTTTACTATAAGAATAATGAAAACAAATTTATAAATATAAATAAAAGAGTTTGTATATGTTCAGATTTTTGTAAATTTGTCCATAACAATTATTTATGTGTGAATATACATATAACAAAAACTTGTAGTGCTACAACTCATGGAACATGCTTGGTTCAGTACATTGTTAGAGTGTTCTCTCTCTCTTCTTTTTTTCACCCCTCCCCTTCCTCACCTTATTGGCGGTATAGAGTTTTTACCAGGCAAGGGAAGAGAGCAGGGAATTAATGCCAAGTTACCCGTAACCTTTGGTTTATTAGGTTGCTAGACGCGGATTTTACACTCCTGTTAACTCAGTAGCCCACCCCACCCCTATGGTTATTTATTTATTACTTACTAGTTAGAAAGTACTGTTTCTAGGCCTATGGTTCTATAAGAAGGTTATTTGGCCAGAATCACAGTGAACCAAGCCCTCTGCTTCCAATCACGGGAACTCCAGGAGGGTCTCCTGACTACATTGTCACTAAACACCACTGACTACAAGTCACTAAATGTAACAAAATAAATAATTAATGGTCACAGTTGGGCTTGAACCTGGACTTGGCAGAAGGAGCATGAGTGCCTTGCTCACTTAGCTTCCCTGTTCCCTCAATATAAATAAAATATACGATTTTTAAAAAAGTATTTATAGAAGTTGAAAAACTATACAAAAGTAAATTAGAATACAATATCAAGAATAAATAAGTAAATGTAAATATATATATTGTATTAATTTTATTTCATTGAATTATATAATCTTTATATATTTAATACAATCAGGATATGAGACAGTATTTAATATATTATAAAATTGAAAATAAATAAATACAAACAGCTATGGATGAATGAATCTATGTGTAATCATCCACAAAGTTTATTATTTTTTTTAAACATAAAATCATTCATGCATTACTTTTCCACAATGATTTATCATGATTAAAGTAACTAAAATATCATTGTTAAATAGTTATTATTTTTAATATAATTTTGTACTCTGCACAAAATAAACGATAAATACAAAAAATCAATAATAGTTCAAATATTAATTGATTTTTTCTGATAAGTTCAATTGGAGTTTCGTTTTTAAACACTATGCTTACAAATATTTGAAAATTAGCATATCTAATTTATTATTATGTTAATAAATTTTTATTTATTTTTAAAAATGTACAATTAATTCATTATGGTTTGGTTTGAAGTACAGGATTAAATTTAATTGTGTTGATAGAAACACATGATAGCATGATAGACTAAATAAAATTCATGTTGCATTTTAAATATCTGTTAAAATTATAAAATTGTTTAACTTTTATGCTGAAAATATTGATTTTGTATAAAAAAAAATTGTAATGTTATAGTTGTAATATAGGAAAAGAAAAATATATTTACATTTCATTTTGTTTTTGAGATTTCTTGCATGCCTTTTTGACTGATTATTTTTAAATTGAATATTTTAGAGTAATAGTTACAAATCAGCAATTGGATTTAACTTAACACACATCAGATAATATTTTTTAAAGGCTCTTGTATTAAAATTATAGAGAACAGTTAGGGAATTTTGCAGTTGCAGCAGGGCTAATGGGATGTGCTTCAGCATATTTATTTTACATGATTATTTAAGGAAGTTGTTTAAATACTTATGATAAACTAATACATTTAATTGCAATTGAATACATTCTAAATTTTTTATATTTTTTTATTAATGAATATGTATTTAATTAAACTAATGAATCTGTATTAATAATAATTTATTTCTAATGACTAAAAATTATTTATATTTTAATAAAATGGGGTAAAAAAAAGTTTTAAATGAAACATGAGGGAAAAAATAGTGGAATTTCTTTATTTTTGATCCAAATGCTCGAGTGCAGAAATTTTATTCCATACACGTTAGTTGATGTATAAGTTGTTTTTTTTCCATTCAGAAAAATCATTTAAGTGGCAGAAGATTTAGCTTTAAATGTTTTTATTTTAAATTGATGATACTAATCTTTCTTCCTGTTGATTTCTTGGAGACTTAGAGAAATGTTTTGACATTATTTTCTTAAATTGTTCTATAACAAAATTATTTTTGCTTCAACAATATTTAATAAATTTAATAATTTACTGTGAATGTTTTAGACAACATATAAAATGGGGAATAGGCTTGCTTATTGGAATTGTTTTGATTATCCTTGTAGTCGTATTGACTCAAAAATCAGAAGTCAATCAAGTCGATGATGAAAAAACCTACACTGAGAAGTGGGTCCACCCAGCCGAAACTTTGGCAAAAGGAGCTATAGTCAGTAATGGAGGACCATGTGCTGACATCGGAATGTAAGTACATTTCAAAGGTGTTGGTCTCAAATTAATTTAAAACTAATTAGCTTGTTATAAAACAATATTTTAGCATGAAGTTTTAGACCAATTTATATAATAATTATACTGTAGGAGTAACAATACAGTACAAGTAAAAATAAAAAGAATTTCTTAAAATTCTCCCGTGTCAAAGTATTACACATCTCAAGTATATTTAGAATTAATAACCAGTTTGTACTAACTAACATCTACCTAAAGCTTTGAGCTTTTTTAACCATTAAAAGGTGGTGGTTGGTTTTTAATGTAAAAATTACATATCATACAGATTTATTATGCACTTTGTTCAGCCCGATATTAGGATACTAATAAAATGTTTTTTGAAAATTGATTTTGGAATAATTTTTGATGACTTCCCAATCAGAATATAAAAAATAATGGGAAATTGTAAATTTTGGATATGATTATGATTGTTCAAGCTATTTAAGGCATTATATTTTTACTGTATATCCAATTGCTACCAACCAGCTGTGGTTCATGAGGAATGGTTGGTCAACTTCATATATAGAAATTAAAATACCCTAAAAATCTATTGCATGCAAAAGATATTATATCAAGAGATATTACTAGGATAATATTTCATATAAAAAATAATATTTTGAGGGTCTTTCTGATATATACTGAAATGTTGTCTCTCAACAATATTCTTAAACATCACTTAATTTCATAAAGATATGTTTATTATATATTCAAGTCTTAAACTCACATTACATTTAACAAGGAAATAACGTTAAAATATTTGAGAATTATGAAATTCAATTTTATTTTTAAAATAATGACAATTTCTCAAAAAATCAATAAAAAACAAACAATTTCTCAGAAACATGAGTACTGTATGTATATATACATGAAATTTAGCTCCTGTGGAAAGTTAGAATTACTGATATATATATTTCAAATATTAAACAACATTTTTATATATTTTGTCTGTTAAATTAAACTAATAGATATTTTGATTTTTAAAGTAGACTGACAAACATAGAAAAATAAAAATGATAATGATAAAAAAATAATAATAAAAAAAGAGAATGAGTTAATTGATTCAAATTGAAAAATTTTCTTTGAACAAGGAATAAAAATTGTAGCCCGAGAAAAAGCTCCCCAGTAGATCCAACATTATGTTTCTTCATAGACTCTTAAGTTGTAATTTACAACCATCAAAATAATTTTCAAGTTATTGATAACAAATAACGTTTTTCTGTTTGCATCAATTGTGTTATAACTTCTGTCCATAAAATAAAACCTTAAATTATTATATAAATATTTTATTGTTCTCCTCTTCTTAAAAACATTATAAATAAAAGTACCGTAAATTATATACAATTGCACTTGCTGAGGTTTGTACCACCTATTCTTTTTATCTCTTAGTTTGAAACTATATACCTCCCTCAAAAATTCAAAATTCATTCAAATGTGCCCCCTCAAAAATTGTGATGGCGCAACTTGCGCCATGTAACTCCGTTGTGCGCACCCCTGAGACGAAAACACAAACAATTTATTCAAGTAATATTAGCGACAGGAAAACCTTAGGCATTTTTTCATTGATCTTTTTTAATTTGATTTAATAGGCTTTGAGAAATTTAAAGTAAAAACGATTAAGTAATTGAAATTGCAAAAGAGATATAAAAAGTACGACCTGAAGGTGACGTCCCGAAGTCTTAACCACAAACAAAACAATATTTACTCATTTAACTTCTTCTCTGCAAAAACCGTGAGAAGCAAATTCCGACAAACAAATAAGCAAAAGATTATGAAATTGTCATGATAACCGATTACTGATTTAAGTAGGCTATTTTTTTATTACGTAGAATTGATGAAAATAACTCGTTCCATATTTCTTTTCGTAACAAATATTGATAAAAAGTACCATTTAGTTATTTAGTTTTTATCTACAATCCATTTTTTCCTTAGTGCTTGCTATTATAAAAAAAGGAATTGTGATAAACGAATATCTTAACGATATTTTTGTTTTCTTTACATGTTTTTCTCACTTGTTTTGTTTATTGAGATATTTTTACCGATATATATATATATATATATATTTTACTTTTACTCCAATTAAAAACAATCAATGAAAAAAAATGCATTGTGCATGCAAAATATTTTTTTTCCAAAATGTCTAGATTTTTATCATGATTTCCAACGTTTCAGTGCAAATATATGGTTCATCTTCAATGAAGATTTATCAGGGCTTATGAGTTAGATATGAAAAGAGAAGTGTACTTTACTTTTTTCATTTCGTTTAGTTTTTCGCCAAAACAAAAATGGCGGTGAAAATGCTTTGATCGAAAAATTTACATTTTTGAACATAAAACACGACTTTTTAAAATTATTTTTTTCACATGTTCGTGTTAAAATAGTTTCCATGTGATGACAGCACTCTAGCAACTACTTTCAGCAGTAAATAATCCTCAGACATTTTACCAATAAATGAAGAATTGTCAGAATACATATTTAGATTTTTTGGGTTATTCCTTGTTTTATAATAAAATTTAATTGGTTAATACAATTAACTTTTCAATCAAAATAACAACAATAAAAGTGCCGGTTTTGTAGTTACTTTTTTCAAGATAATGTTTTTATTATCTTAATCGCTATTGCTCTTTTTAAGCATTTTTAAATAATTGTTTCTTCAAATACTACTGATGATTTTTTATTTGTGTATACATGATTAGAGCATAGAAATATTACTATTTGCCTTATTAACAAAGCAACGATAATAATAATTTAAAATTTAATCACGTTGATGACAATGAAGTTTGTAAATAAAAAAACTTCGTATGACTTATTGATAAGGTTTTAAAATTACCCATGCTTCGCCAAGGCCGTCAGACAGACGTCTTTGAAACACTGTTATCACTAATGTGTCGCAGTTAATACGATAGTAGTATAACGAATATGATTTTTGTATCGCTCTCAATAGTTTCAATTTAATGGAAAATGATTAATAATCTTACATGGATTGATATCATTGTCTGTTATTAATTTTTAACAAACTTTCACGGGATCGCTTTTTGTGCTGGATTGCTTCGAAGATGAAAGTTGTACACACATGTCAAGGATAAATACCGTTGTTTGTTTTGGTTCCCGACTGCGCAATTATAAAGATATAAAGATGAAATATCTAGAACTGCTGAATAATGGTTTATAATTATGATTTATTAATTTATGTACCTAGTTATTATGTAGGATTAAATTTTTAAATTCATAAACTGGTTGCGAGATAGTGGGAGTCAGATGCAGATAAAAAAATATTTTTTTGTTTAATTAGGGCATCTAAAATGTGGTGAATAAATATATTTTAGTATTTCTAAACAAGACAAGAATATCATACTCATCAAACATCCAGCCTAGCATATATTTGTTTTTTTTATTTATTCAGAAATATAATAATCTGTCACACGGACAATAATTTTAATCAGATACGAACGCATTCAGGCCATATATACTGGAAACATAAAATTTACAAAATAACTAAATAATAATCAAAAACTATATACAATAAAAATATGATTTTAGTTATTATATATTTATTAAATATTAATACAATCTGCCACATTCAATGGCAATAAACATTAGAGCTAAAAGTATTCATTCATAAAATATATACATACATGAAAAATAATTGAAGCTAATTACAGAAAAAAAAATTAGTAAATAAATAAAATTCTTCTAAAGCTCATTTACACCTATATATAATACTTACATTTGCCCTAGAGACCCCGAGCCTGGCTTTGTCTCCCCCGTGTGGCAGATAAAGCCTAGCTCCACGAAGTCCCAACGCTTATTTTTCAGCCGCGTCATTGGACTGGAGGCCAATGGGACTGAGAGAGGGCACTCGAGTCAAATACATGCAGACATTGAGTGGAGAAGCTGGACGTTGCCAGAACTCTATTAACATATTTATAAAAGATCTCGAGGCCACTACCAATACCTCCGGGGAGGAATATAGGGATGTTTGAAGCTAGATAGGGATTGAGATAGAGGATTGGGATAGTGAATAAGGTTCTGATGAAATTTTTTGAATCGGAATGGGATGACGTCAATGATATATGGGATGTTAAGGTCATTTTGTAGGGTTTTGCTTGTGATATAATATGGAGCGTAAACTATTGTTCGAAGTACTATGGGCTGGAAGGATTCAATACGTTTGATATTCGAAAATTTAGCTATTACCCACAGTTCAAGTCCGTTGGTCCTGGTTTCAGCACAGTCTTGTAGATTAATAGTTTGTTTTCGATCGAAGGATGAGATGTACTGTTTAGTAATCTGTATAACTGAGCAAATCTTCGGTTACGCTCTTGTCTTATAAGTCTGGTGTTTGGGTTTCAAGTCAGTATTTTGTCTGAAAGGAAGCCGAGATATCGGACTATCCCTGAGGTTGAAACCAGTGTGGGATAGAGTTAATTAGGTTTGGCGGACAGGATCTGCGTCGGAGGGTGAAGATGACATGTTTACATTCTGATCCATTTACTTTGATGTGACGATTGTTGTACCACTGCTCTATCAACCGCGTAACTGGTCCTAAAGCCAGTGGAGATCGAGCAAGAGCGCTTGTTAGCACTCCAATAAAATTTCTAAATTAAGAGATAACGAGGTTATCTCCTTTTCCGACACCTTAGAGTGTTATCAGGAATCAAAGAGACAGCAAGGTTAGAAACGAGAGGATTGAGATGATTCTGAACTCTATTATGAAAGGATAGGTATCTGGATTGAGCCAAATCGGAATCATATGGAACTTTAAGGGTCTTTATGGATGATTTTATTTGTAACAAAGTAAGAAGGATTGAGAATTTTACGACGATTTTGGATTGTAAGGATTGTACGCTAAAGGATTACGATGGTTTAGTGGAGCCTCAAAGGTCTTCGCCGTATGTCAACAAGATGTATCAAATTTTAATATTGTTTCTACAAATCTGTATTTTATGTACACTGGCCAACAAAAGTTTTCATATACGTATTGTTTGAAATTTAAAAAATCAATAATAATACTACTCTCCAACATATTTTTTTAACAGTCTAAATATAATTTTAATGCCACTGTTAATTTTATCTAAAACATTTACCTAACAATAAATGCATGTATTTTAAATAAACATTAACAAATAAAAGTATAAAACGAGAGTTTCGAAGCAGCAAAAGTTTTCGTACATATTCATATTATCTAATAATTTATTCACTTTAGCTCAAATTTTTTAACAAGAACAAGTCCTTTATTTTTAGTATTATTTTAAGTCATTTGGTCAACGATGGGGTCATCTTCTAATTCAATTGGGAGGGCTCTTTCTTCAAACATTTCAGTTTTAAGATATTATAGTAACGTTATATTTTCAATCCATAAATTATCGATAGAATTTAAATCTGGATTCTAAATCGGAGTTTCTTGTTCATTGCAATAATTATATAGCAGCCATTCCCGTATTAAGAGAGTTAGGGTTTATTATTCTGGTAAAAATTTAATGTTCTTTCCATGAGTGCCCACAACTTGGTCTCGTGGTGCGCCAAGTTGCGCCATCACAATTTTTTAGGGAGGCGTATTTTGACGGGATTTTGAATTTTTGAGGGGGATACATTTCGACAGAGTAATGAATTTTCGGATTGGAAAGTTTCAAACAAGGAGACAAAGGGAATACATGGAACAGACCTTAGTAAGTGTAATTTTATATGATTTAGGGTATCTTAATTTCTAATGTTTTTAAGAAGAGGAGAGCAATAAAACATCATGAGGGGAGGGGGAAGGTTCATGCGACATCGACCTTGGGGGGGGGGGGAAGATGGGCACCCCTGGTTCTTTCTAAACTCATTTTTGCCGCACTGGTCCTAAAAGTCTACGGAAATAACAGCAAGAATAAATGAAAACTATTATAAAAATAAGCTAGACAAGATAAATTTCGGATAATATTAAAATAATATGAAATTAAAGCCAGAGTGAATAGAAATATACCTCTCATAAATTTGATGAGTAAGAAAAATAGGTTGGTTTTTACCTAAGAGTTTAAGAATAAAATTTAACAAAAACAAATGTAATATCATTATTGTTTAGAGCCTTCCTGATGGATTGCTTCTCCCATTTTGTCCTGTAACCCTTCACTTCACGAATTACAGACAGACCAGTTTCTGCAACTGCAAGCAGTTATTTATTGTTCCTTCTACTGCTATTATTAGTTCTCTGAACCCAGATCGGTCTGGTTATCTTGCGGAGGTCATGCAATATTGTGCGATAAAATTTTGTAGCAATTCAATAATTTTAAAATCCAAATTGAATCTGAAAGATTTTTTTTTCCATCACTCTATCGGAGACGTGACAGAAATACGAAAATATATCAAACAAGAGATGATTCTAAGATCCAGTAAAAGTTCCAATTTTCTGGTTTAAATATGATTTTCAAGATTTTGTATTAGGATGACTGAAACAGATTGAGCTTCATCCTTTGGCAAAGGAGTATTTTGGATCAGTTCTCTAGTAGTTTTTTTCTTTGACTTATTTTCTTAATAATTTTCTTCAAAGTTATAAAGAAAATAAGACTATACTACTAAAATCCTTGAAGGTCTTTGAGCTGAGTTGATAGGAAGTACTTTTTCTAAGCCAATTATGGTACAATGCCTGGATAACAGGATGTAGCCAGGATGACGCGAAACGATCAGATTTTAACCACAATAAAGATTACCCTTCAATGCAATATTGTGGTACCATTGAGATCTTCTGATGATGCATTAGCTCTGTAGAACGACAAGACTGATTTTGAGGGATATTTATTTGTTCACACAATTTTTTTGTAAGATTGAGGCCGATTCCTTCGGGTTGTATCAAATAAAATCTATAGATGGTGGGGTAATCAGCTGAGATAGAAACACGTTGTTTTCATATAAAATATAAAAACTTACTGCCAAATTATATTGGGTGGCTAGACACACAGCATACAAGTTAATCCGTAGGACAATAAATACAACTTATATATAAATATAAAGAAGTTGTTAGTATATATGAGTATAATAAATAAATATAAATATATATACCTTTTTTTTCCTTGTTCATGCTTTTTTTTTTACATTTAATTTCCCTTTCTCTCCCTTCTCTCTCTTTATACATATCTCTTATATACCGTATTAAAATGCTCAAGATTATTCAATAGAACGATAACAAAAAACATGAGTGTATATATAACAATATTGATACAAACATGTCTTATAAACCTGTTTACGATTCCCACGGTGGAATATTATACAATACTTACAGAAGGGATTATAAGCTTTCTAGAACAGTGCAGAAAAAAAGCTTTTCGATTACTTAGTTGAACTAAAATAATAAACGAATTTTTATTTATTTTTTTTTTAAATGAAATTTGCAACTGTATTACATGAAAAATACAACAAGTAAATGTGACATTGGTAACATGACATATACAACATGAAGAGAAACTATCGACTGGTAGAACTCAAATTAATTCTATATCAGACGCCTACAAGGGTTATCAGGAATAGAAGAGGAAGCAAGATTGAAAACAAGATAGTTCGGATGGTTCAGAAGTTTATTATGGAAGGGTAGGTATCTGGATTGGGCTAAATCGGAAACATATGGTACGTTAAGGTCGTTATGGACGATTTTATTTTTGACAAAGGAAGGTGCATTGAGGATTTTACGAAGGATTTTGGATTGTAAGGATTGAATACGAGAGGAATTCGATGGTTTAGTAGAGCACCAAAGCTCGATTCCGTAAGTCCAAATAGGCCTTATTATAGTCATATATATAAGTCTTTTGTAAGTTATTGGAAGTTTATAGCGTTTGTCTCATTAGTGCTGCAATAGTCGAAAACGTCGAGCTGTTTCTTGTCGTTTCAGTCTTGTATGAGGATTGTATGTGAGTCTGTTGTCCAGGTGGAAACCGAAAAATTGAAAAATAAAATAAAAGGTTATTGATCATGTCATATTTTCTTTATAAATGTTTTTAGATCTATCGAAATTGTTTTTTAATAGACGTTTGTAAATATTTATACTTCACATTAATAAAAAATTTGTATGCAATGAACAACTTTTCCTTCAAAGCATTTTTTGAAAAAATATGCGCGTGTCTCACTGATATTCCGAAATTGAATTCTTTGATATTAATTTTGGATAGCCAATCCAATGCCAGACGAATTTTCAAGGTAAAGCTTTTGTTCGTCCTAAATAAGCGTAGCAGGACAACTTTATTACGTTATTGGAATTACATCATAGTTCATCCTGCCCTAAGCAAAATATTTTATGTTTATACTCTAAACGTTGTACGGGCACTCAACAGTCGTAGCTATAGATTAATAATGTAAATCTGTTTTCCTCATCTTATTGTATTTGTATTATTAATTGAAAAGTTTCATTTTGGACAATAACAAAATAAATAAATAAATTATGAAGTGTAATATAAAGCTTGCTTACATAACATAGAATCTTACTGCTGGTTCGTCAATAATTTATTAGAATTACGTATCATGACTGAAACAAAAAAAAAAAAATAATAATAATAATAATGAATGGTATTAATCAGTATCAGCATTATCCTATTTTTGTTTAAATGGAAGCTACTATAAAATAAAAAGTAGGTGTATTAATATCTGCAAATTTTCCGATTGCGAAGATATACAACAAACTCTCGCCTTACCTTGTTTGGGGGAAAAATTCATTGAATAAATAATTATTAATTATTTCATAAAATATTCATATTATATTAAATGTACTTAAAAAATTTCAACGTCTAAATATTTTTTTCATTTTTGAAATTTACAACTGTATAAAAATAAATATACATCTAGTAAATGCGATACAGAAAAATACAGTGGCATGAAAACACTTGTAGAGAAAGTACACATTGATATTACTTTTTTTTTATTTATTTATTTCTATTTATTTATTTATTCCTATTTATTTATTTATTTCTATTTATTTATTTATTCAGAAATATAACAATCTATCACACGGAAAATAATTATAGTGAGATATGAACACATTGACACTGTACGTATTCCTGTAATAAATATTGTTACAGGGAAATATATACAGATTTCAACAGAAAAATAACTTTTTTCAAAAACTTTATTATAAAATAAAATATATATCTATAGAGAGTAAAACAAAAAAGAAATTACTCAAAATGTCCCCCTTTTGCTATGACACTGGCATTTAATCTCCGTGGCCAGTCATCAATAAGAGGAAAGCGCTCAACTGCTCTGACCAGAGATTGTTTGGAGCTTTCCAAGTTAGGGTGTGCTCTGCGGCATGCCATCCTCTCCAGTTCGGACCAAAGCCGATAATCTAGTGGGTTGAGATAAGGGCTTTCTGAGGGCCAATCCGAGGCAGAGATGGACTCCGGAATGTTCTTGTGATGCCACTGCTAAGTTGACCTGGCATTGTAAGCTGGAGCAGAATCCTGCTGGAAAACTTAACGACTTCCAGCAAACAGAGTTTCATTTAGAGGCTTGACAACAGGTTCCAAAATATCGTCATGATAGTATTTAGCGGCTCCTTAACTCCTTTTTTCACAAAAATGGAGGCTTGTCCCTCCAACTATAGAGGAAAAAGCAGAACTCCAAGAGATCCCTGAGCTACTCTCTGAACGCGTCACTGGTGATAAAGCCAATGGAGATTGAGCGAGAGCGCTTAATAGCACTCCAATAAAATTAGAAGATCACGAGTTCATCTTCTTTTTCCTCAACTTCGAGGGTTATCAGGCATCAATGAAGCAGCAAGGTTAGAAATGAGATGATAAGGATGATTCTGAAGTCTATTATGAAATGACAGGTTTCTGGATTGAGACAAATCGGAATCATATGGATCATTAAGCTCATTATGAATGATTTTATTTGTAACAAAGTAAGAAGCATTGAGAATTGTAGGACAATTTATAATTCTTATAAGTATTGTACTCCACGGGCGGATCTACGGGGGGGGGGAGGGCTTTCGGGCTGAAGCCCCCCCAAAATGTAAAAATATAACCATGTTTTATGGGGGAAAAAAATTAAAAAATACCTCTTAAAGTATTATTGTTCGTGTACTTACATTTAAAAGTACTTAAGGAATAACTTAAACACCATTTCATATAGGTAGTTAGTTTCTTTCTGTTTTTCCAAAGTAATTATCGTTATTTTTATGAAAAAAAAAAGGTTTCGGGTTGAAGCCCCCCGCCAAAATTAAATCCTGGATCCGCTAGTGTTGTACACGAGAGGAATACGATGGATTAGTGGAGCCTCAAAGCTCAACGCCGTATGTCCAAAAAGGCCTTATTATAGTCATGTACATGAATTTTTTGTAATTAAATGAAAGCTAAGAGCGTTCGTCTTGTAAGTGCTGAAGTAGCCATTAACATAGAGCGGTTTCTTGTCATTTCATTTTAGTATGACTTCTAAATATTAAAGAATACTTTTATTACTGACCTTTGTCATTGACTAAGATTAGAATCATTCTATAACTTGAAGCAAAAAGAATCAATTTTTATTATTTCTTGCTCATTCCTCGCAAATTTAAATTAACGGGATTATAAACTCACTTTTCTGAATTTCATGTTCCCAATAGAAATGGTTAGACCTCCGGATCTATGGGGGGGAGTCTTTCGGGCTGAAGCCTCCCCCCCCCCCCCCAAAATGGTAAAATATAACCAACCATATTTTATAGAAAAAATATTAAAAAATTATCTCTTAATGTATTATTGTTGATGTAATCACATTTAAAAGGACTTTAGGAATCACTTATACACCATTTCATGTAGGCAGTTAGTTTATTTCTTTTTTTCCAAAGTAATTATCGTCATTTTTATGAAAATAAAAAGCTTTCGGGCTGAAGCCCCTCCCCCAAAATTAAATCCTGGATCCGCTAATTGTTAGAGAGGTGCATAATACTGGTCTACTTGATATAGGTTTTTTATTTATCAGTTAGTAGGTTTTTTCTTGACCAATTTTATGCCTGTTTCCGTCAGATGGCCAACGCTCGTTTCAAGTGTTGTCCAACTTCCAGAAAGATGTTCCGTGAATCGACTTAAGAGTTGCGCGTGATTATTTCCATCTACTTAAAGTACCATGGTAAACGATTGCAATGTGCATGTGACGCATAGCAGTGGATAAAAAGTGATTTTTATGAACTTCAAATGGAATGACATAGTACCTATAAATAAATCGCAATAAATAAATAGTATCTATAAAAATCTATTTATAATGAAATAAATAAAAATACTTGGAATCCGCATACAAGACTGAAAAACAAGAAACTGCTTGACGTTTCCGGCTGTTTCAACACTCAGTAGACCAACGCTCTAAACTTTCAATTAATTATAAAAAAACTCATTCATATGACTATAAGACCTATATGGACATACGCAATTGAGCTTTGTAATTCCACCAAACCATCGAATTCATATTGAATCCAAAGTCCTTCGTAAAAATCCTTAATTTAACCCCATATTTTGTCACAATTAAAACCATTCATAAAGACCCTAGTGTTTGATAGGTTGCTGATTTAGTCCAATCAAGATATATATCCTTTAATGACAAACTTCAGTCCTATCCGAATCCACTTGTTTCCAGCCTTGCTTCTTCCTCAATTTCTGATAATCCTCCTATGTGTCTGAAAAGAAGATGGCATCGTGATATTCTTAATTAGAACTTTTTAAGGAGTTCTATCATTGGGTAAGTGTCTTCACAAGTCTGTTCATATCATTAGTCTTGATTTTCTCATATTAACTGGTTGTATTTATTTAGTACATTTGTAAATTTCAATAAATAAATAAATTGACTCAAATGCTCGGCCATGCTAAAGCGATATGGCATTAGTTGGAGTGAAACGTTTGAACAGGGAAATTAATGCAAACTAGTGAATTTTGATTTGTGTGTTTCTAACCATTTTTGTTTTCTGATTCTCTGTGTCAAATTGATAAAGTTATATAAGTAGTTATATGACGAAGATCATTTCCTCTTCTTAATAGCCGTACAATTTGGCCCATTAGACAGATAGAACGAGAAAAAAAAGAGTTAAGTTTACAACGCACAACTGTAAATCTACAAAGTTGTTCTTAACTCTCTATTTATAAGGGATAGGATGTTACAGATATATTAGCGTTGGAAATAAACCCAATTTATCTGATTTTTTTTTTTTAATTTCATATTCTCTCATTAATGTGAACTAACAAGAGGTTTGAAAAATTAATACTACTCTTCTGAACATATTCCCTAAAGTCAGTTTTTCTGTTGTTTTTTTTTTTTTTAAGTATCTCACTATCATAATATTGTACAAAATCTTTCGACGTAAATTTAATGCAAAGTTCTCACACACGAACCTTTCTTTCAAATTTAATATTGTTGGACTTATTGCGCCACTCAATGACACCGAGTTTTTAGTACAATGATAACACTGATAAGAAAATCAGGGATGAATGCCGTATAACTTTGCATAACATAAGGAAAGGAATCTTAGCGCTTTTAGAAGGACACCTAACTTTTTATTTTATTTTAAAAAAAATTAGAATGCTCTTTTTGACACTCAGAAAACATGTATACTGCATCTTTTACGCCGACCTTGTTTAAGTGCTGAAGAAAATAAATAACTTGTTTATTCCTCTATTAATGGCCATAACTTGTAACCGAATACGAAAACATATTATGAACCTACTAGGACGGTTACCAATCTATTTTAAATACTTAAACCTTTGATGAGGTCCAATCACAAACTAGAATTTGTATAAAACGAGCTCTTCAATAGATATTTTGATAAAGTTTCGGGAATCTTTTAAGGACGGTCATATAGCCTCATACTGACGACGAATTGTTTGAACGATGGAATTCCTTCATGTTATCGTCCATTAGATAAGAGTTTTAGAGGGTCCTTCAAAGAATTTTAGAAATCAACTGGAAATTTGGCATAAGACATGTTAAAGAAATTATATCCATCAGCAGATTGAAGAGATCCAGCCAAAAGTGACGGGTGAACAATTATATCCTCAGTATATCTGAAATTATTGGGATTTATTGTGAGTAAAAAGTTTGAAGATATCAAATATAAAAACTCCCAAAATGAAGAATTTTTGACTTACTGCTTTTGAACTGTAAAATAGATTCGTGTAGTGATAGTAATAGTACTCGAAATCATTCGACTAATGAGACCATGGCTTCTCAGAAATAATCTTGTTTGCCCCCCATAAAACAGTTCCATACTCCTTTGCAATGATATACTAAAAGATAAATAAACCTAAACGATTTTTATTTATTCTTCTTGTAAACAAAAAGACCAATGTTAGTATAACTACCTGTAGTTTTATACTGTAATTACTGTAGTTTTATTGTCCTTGCAAAAAGTCAATTTTCGGATTAAAACGAAGTTAGAATCAAAATCGGTTATTCATTTTTTCTATTGTAATTTACTTTTTTTTTTTTTTAATGGGATAGTTTTAATCCTTGCACTCCGACTTCTTTGTATAACCATGAACACTAAACAATACTTTCTTAATAAGCTCTAAATTTAAGAAACTCTATGTTTTACACTAATGTATGGTTTATTTATTTATTAATCCGCAGAGTGAATCGAAAATAAAAATTATATTTCTCTGGTATTTTATTTGAAATCGATTTTTAAAGCTTATTTCGTCGATATTTACAAGAAAAGTTATTGTTTAATATATAATGGTTTATTGAATGTTGTCTTAATAGCGCACACTAGCGGATCCAGGATTTAATTTTGGGAGGGCTTCAGCCCGGAAGCTTTTTTTTCATATATATATATATATATATATATATATATATATATATATATATATATATATATATATATATATATAATTAGTTATATATAATTAGTTATCGTTATATATATATATATATAACGATAACTAATTAAAAAAAAAAAGGAAAGAAATTAACTACCTATATGAAATAGTGTTTAAGTGGTTCTTGAAGTTTTATTAAATATAATTACACGGACAATAATACTATAAGTGATAGTTTTTAATATTTTTTTTCTATAAAACATGGTTATATTTTCTCCATTTTGAGGGGGACTTCAGCCTGAAAGCCTCTCCCCCCCGTAGATCTGCCTGTGTAATAGCGATATTGAAAAATATGCATTATTCATGTTTGTAAAGTTATGATTTATATAAAACTTTTTATAATTTCACCTCCATTATGCGGCCCTGACATCCGAAAAATAATTATAAGGTTTGTTAATTTTTGGCTAAAACGTCTGTAAATATTTCGCTGGTCGCTGCTGGAATGACTGAAGGACGGGCGTATTCTTAATGACTAACGACCGGATTTATTTGTATTTACATTTTTTCTGTCTTGTACATACTTCGATGGTTTATTTTACGTTTCATTCAATTGAAAAGCGAATAAAGCGTCTTTTATTTCACATATCTGAAGGATATTACTTATTTAGAATATATCTACATACATAAAAAAAAAAAAATTGAACAAATAGAAAGAAAGTATATTAATACAAAAGAGAAGAAAAATAATGCTAAGCAAGCACTGTATTTCTTTTTTAGAAAGCCGTTAAACTATTTTTAATATGATAAGATCTGGGTAGAAATATCGTACTTGCTTTAAACACTAATAATTTAACTTTATTTTATCAATAAAGATTGATTTCCATAATTATTCAATTATTTTTTGAGAATAATTTTTCTCAAATATCTGTGATATCAAACTAATCTTTTCCACTCATTTCAGTGTTTAACTCCTAATTAGATGAAAATGGTGAATACATTGAGCAGTAGATAATATATATATACATAATAAAAGAAACAAATAAATACATTTACACCCTTAAAAAAACTTAGATATACAGGAGAAAACACCAACCCGGCAATACTAAGTAGCTACCATAACAGATTGATCCACACATAATAATAATTAATGTCAACCAGGGATTGAAACAGAAAAAAACTTTTTATTTGTAAAAAGTTTCTTATCACAGAAATTTTTATTGTTGACTGTTTTTTTCAATTTTTTCGGAACTAGAACTTTTTCTCTTGAAATTTTTGAAATGAAGATTTTATATAGCTTTATTTAAAAGTTCTGTCGATTTCACTTAAAAGTAAATCTAAAAAATGATTTTTATTCAAAGCTACTCAAACAAATGACACATTAAAATCATGTTTAATTCATTTAAGACAAATTACAACACTAATATAAGCCAAATTACTGTTTATTTTTCATTTAATGAACCTTTTTTTTTAAGAACTTACATAAATACAACTTAAACTTTTACCATAAACCTGAAACTTTTTTTCTTAAAAGTTTCACAAAAACTCTCTTAAAAAAGAACTTTTTGAAGTAGTTCCATAAATGTTTCAACATCTCCTTGGTCATTATCTCCTTAGTGCTGCAACATGGAAGTTCTATTTATATTTTTTTGTTGGACTAACACAATATAATGCTCAAGAAATATTTTTTCAGCTAATTTTATTTTTAACTGTGAGTTAGCCAAGCTTAACATAATCAAAAACTATTATTAAAATTGGTGGTGGGTTTTCAGGTTGCTGGATCTATAAATCTTATTAAATTCCTTCATACAAGGTAATCATATGTTATTAAAACAAAGTTTATGTTTTCTTTCCATAATTTCGATTTAAAATTAACACATCATTTTAGGAAAATCTTGAAAAAATATGGCAATGCTGTAGACAGTTTGATAGCAACGATGCTCTGTGATGGGCTGACCTGTATGCAAAATATGGGCATAGGAGGAGGGTTTATTGCCACTCTGTATATTAAATCAGAATCAAAAGTAATAACTATTAATGCTAGGGAAACTGCACCAGCAGCCGCAACTTTTGATATGTTTGTCAATGATACCAAATATTCTAAGAAAGGTATAACTTCTTACAATTTTATTTATTATATGTTAAAATTGCTTATTGTCTTAACATATACTAGTTTAGGAGGAAAATCTGTTGCTATACCTGGGGAAATAAAAGGATATTGGGAGATGTACAAAAAGTATGGTGGCAAAGCTCCTTGGAAAGAACTCTTTCATGGAGCAATTACTCTGTGCAAGGAAGGAGTGCCAGTAAATAGGCATTTAGAAAAGAATATAGATTCATACAAGACAGATATCCTCGAATCACCTTGGCTTCGGTAAGTCTGTATTTAATTCTCCCTTTTTTATAGTTTAATTTTTCATTCAAAATAATTTCCATCTTAGAATACATTTAATAATGCATTATAAATTATTAAAATGAGCTCTTTTGCAGTAAGTTATTGTTGAATGAAAAAGGTGAGTTACCAAAATATGGAGATAAAATCAAATTGCCAAAACTTGCTGAAACACTGTCAATAATTTCTGAGAATCCTGAGGCACTGTATAATGGCCCTCTCACAGCTGGGTTAGTGAAAGATATTCAAGATGATGGAGGCATCATTACTGTAGAAGATATGAACTCTTACAAGTAAATAGACTTTTGATCATATCATAATATTAATTTAATTAATTATGCTAAGATATTCAATCTATTTATTTAGATCATACTCCTTTGTTCCCTTTAATGTGACTAATTGACAACAGAAGGATTTGATATCATAATAGGTTTATGGAAAGTCAATTTTTCTTCAGTTCCTTCTCACAGTGCTGACCACAAGCTGTTCTTACTTATATTTGTAGCGTTAAAGCGAATGTATTAATTTATTGTAATGCAAGTACATTGAAATGGGTGTATCTGGGCCATTCCATTAATTTATGCTATGGCTATTCAGATTGACCTCTATTAGAAATTTTTAAACATTGTCGTTAGGATTCTATTTTGAAGTGAACTGTGAAAAAATAAACTGTTTAGACTTTATTTTTTTGTGGAAGTCAAAACTCTAAAATCAAAAGAAGTGTTAAAATCTATTAATTTGTGGCATCATATTTCAGCTTTTTTATTTAATTCATCTTATTTCTAATTCAGATACAAGGACTAATAAATTTATGACAATATAACAATAATGAATTAGTATATAATAATATTACATTACTAATTTATTTTATTAAAAATAAAAAATAAATAAAAATTGGTGATTTTAGTTTCAAAAATGCTGAATGATATTTTTTAATATGGAAATTTAATTTCTTAAAAATTTTTGAGTTTTATTTTACAATGTTCTTTGAAACTTTTAAACAACAACCAAAGATAAAAATATTATAAAAAGTCAAAATTTATAAAAGTACAACAAATAATTTTAGAATATAATATTATACTAATATATAATATTATAGAATAGAATATATAGAATAGAATATTATTATCCACAGTGGTTTAGGACCCAACTTGATGAACTTTCCTCACACCATAGTCCATTATTACTCCAATTATCTCTAGCTCCTATGTCCGGGGATGCCCATCTCCCCCCAAGGAGTAAGGATATATGATAAAGGAAAAGATAAACCTTCCTTCACCTCTACTAAGATATTTTATTCCTCTCTTCTTCTTAAGAACAGTGGAAACGAAAGTAGAATTTGAATGTTCGTAGATTATATACCATTACACATCCTGTGGTCTGTTTCCTGATTCCACTTGTCTTTTACTTTGAAACTTTTCATTTTGAAAATTCATAACCCCATATAATTGTGCCCCACTCAAAAATTGAAAACCCCACCAAAAAGTGCCCCCCTCATTAATTTTTATGGCGCAACATGTGCCATAAAACTCCTTTCTGGGCACCTTTCCCTATTCCTAAAGCGTCTCCACCATCCTTCATCAGAGGTCCAGTTAACTAGAAACTTTTTCATAAAATTCTTTCCAATAAAATTGACCTCAGAATAACCTTGAAAACCTCAGAAGACCTTGACAATGGCGTACATTCCTTCACCACCACTATTCAACAAGCAGTATGGACAGCTTCCTCTCCAAACCATTCCTCAAGAATTCTTAAGAAAAATATTTTATCCTCATACATTAAACCACCTCATAGACCTAATCCACACCAAACGCCATGCCAGATTATGATGACAACATAGCAAACATCCCATTGATCGCCCTCCTACAATTATTATTGTAAACTATTAGAGCAAGAATCATCATCCTTCAGATCCCAATCCTTTGGCTCCTGCCTTAGTTCCCTCCCTGTTCATGACAATGCCCTCTGGCAAACCACCGAAAAAATCCCATCATATTTCCCATCCCCTCTGTCTATGCGATGGCTCCTAGGCAGCATCCAATGAAGACAAAGCTGAGGAATTCGCCAGACACCTCTCAAGTACATATACAGTAGTCCTCTCTTCACGAACCCTTCTCACCTTACCACCTAAAGCAGTTAATCCATCTGAGGTCAAATATCTTTTAGGGAAAATCACTCCTTGTAAACCTCCTGGATGCGACCTCCTAACTCCACAGAGTCTAAGAAAACTTCCACCCAAAGCTATTATATTCCATCATATATTTATAATTTCATCTTAAGAACTACTCACTTCCCTCTCCTATGGAAACATTCCACCATTGTCCTTTTGCTAAAACCAGGCAAACCTGTCAACAATACATCATCCAATTAGCAATTAGCCAAATAGCAAATACCAATTAGTCTACTTCCAATCCTATCAATAATTTTTGAAAAGAATCTTACCCATAATAGAGTCCCCAAAATTCCTACCGATCAATTCGGATTTCGTTCCCAACATTCCACTGTCCAACCAGGACTTTGAGTTGTTGACCATATATTCTCAGCCCTAGAAAAGAAGCAATATTGTTCAGGTGCATTTCTGGACAGAGCGCCGGCTTTTGACAGGATATTGCTCCTTTGATTTCCTACTTTAGCTCCTGATGTTTCTTTTTCCCATAAGATCCTCATAACTTTGTCGAGAACAACGTTGAAGAGAAAAGGTGACAGTCAGCCCCATTGTCTCACACTGGCTTTTATCGGAAATGGTTTGCTTATATTCCCTCTTAATTTTATTTTTTACTTGGTTTCTGTTAGAGTTTCTTTTATTAGGTTTATGGTCTTTTGATCATTCCCTCAGGATTTTCAGTAAGGTTTCTCTGTCTATGGAGTTATATGCTTTTTCAAAGTCCACGAAAGTGATATAAAGGCTTTTCTTTGGTCTATTCAGAGAAGATTTCATGAGAAGTTTCAGACTAAGTATCTATTCTTGGCAGGATCTCCCCTTCCTGAATCCCCCCTGATATTCTTCTATTTTGTGGTCTATTTGGGGCTCTATCCTGTTTAGTAGGGTCTTAGAAAAATTTTTGTAGGCAACTGGCAGTAGAGAGATCCTTCTGTAGTTGCCTACCTCGGTTTTGGCGCCTTTTTTGTGAAGAGGGTGGATTAGGGCAATATTCCATTCTGCTGGTATTTTCTCTTGTTCCCAAACGTCCATTAGTAGTTCTGTGACTTTTCTCCTGAACACCTCACTGGAATTTTTCCACATTTCTGCTAGGACGCCATCCTCACCAGAAGCCTTGTTGTTTTTTAGCCCCTCAATGATTGCCTCTATTTCTTCCTCATCCGGTGGATCCGAGTCGATGTTTTGTGGAGTATTTTCTCTTATCTCCATTTTCTCACTAGGTTCCTCACAGTTTAGAAGTTTCTCGAAATAATTCGCCAGAATCACACAGTTCTCCTCATCCGTCATTGCCAGAGTACTATCTCTTCTCTTCAGCACAAGTCCTCTGGGGTATATATCTATACACATTGTTTTTTTGTTTAATGAAGTACTAAAAAATATTGAAATAAATGTCATCTTATCTGTATTTCTTCGTGCAGTATAATGCATTTTTTCATTCTTAAGAAGCAAAGATTTATACATAAGACCATCTTTATCAATTTATAGCATGTAAGAATGTATTTTAATTTGATATAATTAATTTTTTATGTAATTCTTAATTTTTTTTAGTGTACGTTGGGAGGAACCTATCAAAATGGAACTTTTATCAGGATATGATCTTTATTCAGTTCCACCTCCTGGTTCAGGGGTCATATTAGCCTTTATTTTGAAGTTAGTTGAAGATACTCTTCCCAAAGATGAAGAAAAGCCTGAAACAACTTCTATAATAACAGAGGCTTTTAAGTACGCTTATGCTATGAGGTCCTGGATGGGAGACACACATTTTATTGATAATAGCAAGGTAAAAGGGGAACAACACTACTTATTTATTTTTACTTTTTATTTTTTAAGAATTTCCAGTTAGACTGATTAGAGACACTGAATCTGTTTAGGATTTTTTTTTTAATACCTACACGTGTAATTAAAATAAACCTATTGTGTCGGTGTGATACATATCCTTTGTTACAAGAGTCAAATTTATTTTTGAAAAGTTGTGTAATAACATCATTTACATCATAATTACATTGTTTTTATTAATTCATTCAATATTCAAGATGTGGCACCAGTTTTTAATTAGCTAATAGAAGAGATAAATTAAATATTTGTCAAAATATTTAATTAATTAATCACACTTATTACTAATAATGTAATTATACACACATAACAATCCTAATCTGCTTAATATTAAAACTTTTAATTACCTGTTTTTAAAATTTCAATGGTTTACTAAAATTGGAGCCTCTTATACAAATGAAATCATGAACAATTGTTAAAATTGATCTTTTTTGTCATTATAAATAAATTAAAAATTATAGATTTTTCACTCCTATGGTCAACTTGGTTAAGTATTTTTTAAATATAAGTACAAGTATATAAAAATTTCATGCATGCATAGTATCAAATATTTCTATTGACTAGAGCAAATTATTTGAAAATTTGACTGAATTTTCTTTTAATGCTAATATATTTATTTAATGATAATATCAAATAAATAACAAAACAAAACTTTGATTTAGATTCTCGAAAGGTTGAATGATACAAACTATATAACCACAATTAAGAAGAATTTACTAGTAAATCATACATCAAATAATCCAAAAGATTATGGTTCTGATTATGTTACTGAAGACCATGGCACTGCAAATAATGTTGTAATTGCTCCAAACGGTGATGCCATTGCTGCAACAAGCACCATTAACCTAATGTAATTATTTTTTTCAGTATAATATTTTAGTATTGCAAAGGTCTACTGCACAACAAAGTATTATTTCTAATTTGATTTGTGATTTATTTTTACTAATGTTTTTTTTTAAATTAGCGGATAAAACTACTTCTACAACTATTTGGCTTTTAAAATTTGTTACACTCTATGAGCATTTGATTATAAAATTCAGAGTCAATATTACTGCCATCTGAAACTATTTCAAAGTTCAAAATACATTCTTAGTTTTACTAAAGGAATACATAGAAGCATAGGTGTTGCTATATAACATTGTAATTCTTCTTATTTATCCAAGCTCAAATTTCTTTTCGTCGTAAACCAACGACTTCCTGTCCTACAGTTTCCTTTAACAATACTCCACTTATCCCTGTTGAGCAAATCCGATACCTAGGACTCCACCTGGACAAACGACTAACTTGGAATCCTCATACTAGACTGAAACAACAAGAAACCGCTCGACGTTTCCGATTACTTCAGCACTTACTAGACAAATGCTCTAAACTTCCTATTAATTACAAAAGGCTCATATACTTGACTATAATAAGGCCTATTTGGACTTATGGGGCTCCACTAAATCATCGAATTCTTCTTGTATCCAATCCTTACAATCCAAAATCCTTCGTAAAATCCTCAATGTTCCCTACTTTGTTACAAATAAAACCATCCATAATGACCTTAATGTTTCTTTCGTTTCAGATCTGGCCCAATCCAGATACCTATCCTTCCATAATAAACTTCAGAATCATCCCAACCCTCTCGTTTCTAACCTTGCTTCCTCTTCAATTTCTGATAACTCTCCGAGGCCTCTGAAAAGAAGATGGCCCCGTGATCTCCTAATGTAAACATGTCATTAGAGTGCTACCATTGGGTAGTTACTCAGCAAGTGTTTTCAAGTCATTATATACATTATGTTTAAATTTACTAGATGTATTTATTTAATACAGTTGTAAATGTCTTTAAGAAATTAAGAAATAAAAAAAAAATGTCTTTAACTATTGGCTCTTTCATATTTTTTTTTTCGTGGCCTTCCTTTTGAATGCATATTTTACTACTAAATGGATACCAATAGACTCAATGGGAATATGTTTAATCCTGTACTTTTCAAACTGCATTTGTTGTAGATTTGGTAGCTGTTTAATATCTGAAAGTACAGGTATAGTTTTAAACAATGAAATGGATGACTTTTCTACTCCTGGTCTGGTAAATGCTTTTGGAGTATCACCTTCTTCAGAAAATTTCATTGCTCCTGGTAAAAGGCCCATGTCCTCTATGTGCCCTTCATTGATCCTTGACAAAGATGGTGACGTACGATTAGCAGTTGGGGCAGCAGGAGGTACTAAAATTACAACTGCAACTGCTCTGGTACGTTTACCTAAAATTATATATAATATTTAGTATTATAGTATAGTCATGCTATAAAGAATTGCTTATGGCCTGTAAAATTAATCATAAATTCAGTCTGGTTTCTACATGAAATTATAAAATTCTCCTTTAAGTAGCACCATACAGTAAGTACTGGTAACTGTGGAGGGAATGTGTCCAACAAATGAGCAAACTGAGCCCTTCATTTACTAAGGATTGATTGTTGAATAAAACAGGGTGTTTTAAATTCAGCGAGCCATAGAACAGGAGGTGATTCCCTGCCTCATTTGCAACAAAAAATTCATGTAGACTATGGTCTGGTTGTACAAATAAAATAAGGCTATTTACATGTTGTGTGTTTTAACTATGTCACATTTTTTGTTAAACAGGATAACTAATAAACTAATTTAAGTAATAACAATTGCAGTTTATTTTATGAAGAGACTTTTTTTTTTCAATTTAAATATAATTGATCTTAAAAGTATATTAAAAAAGCTTTTATCATTATTTCTGTTTTTTATAAAATCATAAGTATTAATATTTTTTATTATTATTATTAATATTCTCTTCATCACCTTCTTACTGGACAAAAGATTCATCTCCATTTTTACTTTTAAAAAATGATTTGATGATACAGCAAATTTTTTTGGCATAGTTAAAAATAAAAAAAAGTTTGTTTCTTCTTTTTTTGACACTTAGTCCTACGACACCTTTCGTTAGATCAGCCCTGAGGAAGGCCTCAACGTTGAGCCAAAACGTCAGAAAAAATAAAAATAAATATAATTTATTTATTTTTACTTTGTTACTTATTCGATTGAACACCCCAGCCAACTTCTCTTCAATATGTTTCTTCTTTTTTTATTGTTTTGACTTTAATTCAGTTAATCAAAAGAATTTAATTTCTAAGATTATATTATTTTTTGAAAGATATTACCTATATTAATTTTTAAAAAATGTGTTGACAATTATTGGGGGAGAGAGGGAAAAGGTAGTGAAAGAAAGAGCAAAAAAATTAATGTTGCTCACTAAAAATCCTAGTTCCGTCTCTGATCCATGATATATTTCAGTAAATTAATTATTAAAATACACTTTTTATTCATAAAAAATGCCATTTTTTCAAAAAATTAGTATTTAGAAATGAATACCTAAATTGATAGTACACCACCGGCTATACAGCTCTCTATTATGAGAATTGATTCTTATGTTATTAGCTGACCAACTAAAGCTTGCCATCTTCTAATCCTCATTATAATAAATAATTGATGGATATTTTTAATTATTAGTAATGAGTTATTGGTTGTTATTATTATTAATAATAATAATACCTTATATTGGTATTCATGTCTCCTTTGTCTTGTAGAATGAGAATTTGCATTTTGTCAAATTATGGCTATTGAAATTAAATACACCATTCTGGTAAAAAAAAATATATCTTCCTACTTCAGTAAAGGTTCCTTTCTTAAATTTCCAAATAGAGCAATGTTTCTTCTGAATGCAGCATTGATTACCATTTATCCTGATACACTCCATATTCTTTTTAGTATAACACATATGCAATATAATCTCACTTTATTTGTATTAATTATATTGTCTTTACAGGCTACAATCTGGAACTTGCATTACGGAAAATCAATTTCAGATTCAGTGAGGAAATCAAGGTTTCACCATCAGCTAATGCCAATGATATGGAATTATGAGGCTTCTATACCTGAGGTAAGTTTGATGGGTAACAAATTAAAACAGCCATTTTCAGAAGGATTTTCTGTTTTGTTCTTTTTGTAATCTTTTATTAGTCATGGGATGAGTAATAAAAAATTGGCCCCTTTTTGTTATATGAAAATGGTGATCCTGATTGGCTTTTTTTTTTTAATCTAGTCAAAATTTATATAACTTTAATACCTAGACTGTACAAAATAAATTTGTAAATAACATGGAAATAAAATTTAAAATATTTTTAACATCACACCAATAATAAAAGATGTTTTCTATTACCAAGACAAACTGTTTTGTGCTGAAATTGGATAAAGAAGATGCTCTTTTTGATTGATTTGTGATAGGATGTTTCCAAAAATTCTTAACTACTGGCATTTGCCTCAAGATGAAAGTGTCTTTGAACAAAAATTATCAGTCAATGAGAAAGCTCTGCGGTAACTGAGTTGAAGCAAATCCAATGGAAACTACTCAGCACTAGCGGATCCAGGATTTAATTTTGGGGGGGGCTTGAGCCCGAAACCTTTTTTTTCATAAAAATAACGATAATTACTTTGGAAAAACAGAAAGAAACTAACTACCTATATGAAATGGTATTTAAGTTATTCCTTAAGTACTATTAAATGTAATTACACCAAGAATAATACTTTAAGAGGTATTTAAAAAAAAAATTGCTCATAAAACATGGTTATATTTTTCCATTTTGGGGGGCTTCAGCCCGAAAGCCCCCCTCCCCCCCCCCGTAGATCCGCCCGTGCTACTCAGGAATTTGGAATAAAACTAAGAGTTTCTCAATCCACTATAAATCATGTTCTGAACAAAGTTGTTAGCTTATCAAGAGTGGTTGACCAATGAGCAGACAAAATGTCATGTAGAAATTTGATAACAAATTTGATTAAAATAATTGTTCCTTGAGATGAGAAGTAGATATATTTAAGAAATCCTTAAATGAAGAAACTATGCTTAAATCGCAATCAGCCTTCTATACTTACCACTAACCAAAGACTATTCGAACAAAGGTATAATAATTCATTTTGGGATCATTTCAGAAGGTCAAATTATTGATTCGGAGCTTGATAGTGTTTATTTACAAAGAATGTTTGACCCAGATCTACTGAGTATTTGTAAACAGAAATGAAAAGTTTTGTCTAAACAAGATAATGCCCAACACCACACTTCGGTTATGTGAAACTAAAAAATTCAGAACTTGAGCTTCTCCATCACCCTCTTTACAATCTGGAGTTGCATTGCCAAACTGCCATGTGTCAGTGGCTCAAACTATTTATCTACAAGCAAAATCCATCAATAATAGAGGCAAATCTAAAAATCGTAATGTTTGAAATCCTAAAAGTTGTACTGTAAAGGAATCCAACAGTTATATAGCAGTAGATAATGCAATACTGAAAATGTTAAGAAATTGTGTTAAAATAATTTTTTAATGTGTGAAAAAAATTTTTTTTTTTACTCATTCCATTATTATTGAATATCTAAAACTACTTTGATTCAAACTCAGATCTGCAAAGGGACACACTTATTCTTTTCTCAGAGTGCTAGTTTTTGAGGGGTGGAATATTTTTAGGTAAAAGGAAAATTTGAGACAAGGGAAAAATATTTTTTTTATTTTCATTAATGTATAATAAATCCTACAATTTAAATAAAGCAAAATGTATACTATTTCGCACTTACCTCCATATATTAATATGGATAGTCATGAGAAAATATACTATAATATTAACTCTAAAACAAAATACTTAAGAAATACATTTAAAACTAGTTTAACAAAATAGAGTATGCTATAACTCATTTCTTATAAACAGTTATCATACAAATTATATCAAACTTGAATCATTAATATGATAAGAAAACATACTAACTAATCTCTATATGTAATAGGCCTAACCACTGACTAATTTTTTGTGGACCATAGAAAACACTGTTTTATGTTTTTTTAACCCATTTTATATTTTTAAATTATCAATACAATATTGAATATGATTGGTTTTATTTATAATTTAACATTATATTAAGAAAATCAATGTTTATAAATACTCATAAGTTTATATAACATTTTTATTGAAACAAAAGTTACTTACTTTTTAATATGATTAACAGGAAATTGTCAAAGATATGGAAAGACGTGGTCATAATGCCACAGAGTCAAAACCTAACCAGTCATGTGTAACAGCTATCTCAAAGAATGGAAATTTATTAGGTGCTTCTTCCGACATGAGAAGGCCAGGAAATACTTCTTATTTATTGGACTTGTAGTTGATATTTCATAAATTATTTATCTAAATAATAGATCAATTATATTTAATTTTGATTATAAACCAAAAAGAATTAAATTTAGCAATAATTAATAATCATTGTATCAACCAAAGACTAAATTGGTTATTTCTGATGAGATGATTTGTAAAGATGAGTGCCATGGTTTGTTATTATTAAGATTGGAATAGTATTAAATATGTGTTCATGATTTAATACTTTTCTCAATTATATAAAAATTCATTTGTTACATAAGATCAGAGTATTATGACAGTTACTTATTAAAAATAAGTCTATTGTTTTCATTTCTATTTGTTTATATTCCAAAACCTTACTATTTAAAAATATTTATGAGTCAACAGACTAATTCTGTGTTTAAAATGAAAAATTGTTACCTCTAACCTCTAGTAAGATTTTTTTATTTGTAAGATATTATCAGTGTGATTTGAATTGGATTTTCAAGTCATCCTATGAAATAGACATTCTTAAACTAGGGTCCACGGACCACCAAGGGTCCATGTAGCCATTACTGTGAGTACTTATTTATTTACTTATTATCCACAAAACAATTTTGACATTAGCGTTACACATCCTCCAACTTTTCAATTTTATTTAAATAATTTATTTGATAAAAAATTGACATGGTCAAGATGTTTTATATTTATTGTTTCTTTACTATTACAAACAGTGCTGGCCTTAGGAATTCAGTGCCCCTGGGCAATGACGTCATTTCCCCTCCTACTCCCAAAAATAAAATAAAATTTATTTCTTAAATTGTTTTATATAATGAAATATTTGAATTTTATTTCATTCAAAATTTCTTGCAATACAGTTAATTTATTGACAGGCTAAAATTAATTATTTTAATATGTTTTTTATTTTTTTTTTAATTTCTAACAAGTAGCGAGCACCCCTGAAATTTGGTCGGCGCCTCCAAAAAGCGCCTACCCAGGTTGGCGCCCAGGCGATTGGCCCCGGCACTGAGTATAAATCAAGAAATGTAAAATGGTTAGGATTGGGATGGATGGGTCCTACAAAAAAAAAGATTTTTTCAAGTATAGGTGGAATATTTAATATGTAATATATAGAATATGTTAGTTGAAAAACACTGGATGGTTTAAAAACAAATGAATTTCCTAGAATTATCAAAGATTGCACTGAAATCCAAAATTATTTGAAATAAAGTAAATAAATTAATAAACATGAATGACAGGTTATCTCCAAAACAGTAGAAGACTAATAGTGGGTGTATTAATGGAGTATTATATATAGGCATTAACAATTATTTTTAGGATGTTAAAAAAAAAAACACAAAAAATAAGTCTTTATTGGACTAGTTACTATTGAGCTCAGCCAAACAAATCCTTTTGATAATAAATAATTCATCATTTTTGCACTGGGTTAATAGAATGCAGTTTATTAATTACTCTCAATATTGAAAAGATTGGGATTTTTAAAATAAACCTAGAGGAAGAAAGAGGTAAAGTATAATATTAATAAGAAAATATGTAAATATTTGATTTTACATAAACACAAATACTGATTTGTAAGTTTTACTTAATTTTACTGTTTTACACCTTTCTTAACACTTATATGTCTTTGGTTATAATACTGTAGTATGTTATATCACATACTATCTATTATTATATTACAAAACTGAACTTAATTCAACAATTAGATAAGGCTTTAAATAATGTAGTTTCTTATTTCCCTCAGGTTTTCTATCCGATAGATAAATAAAAATAATTCTTCATTTTTATTTTCTTCTGATCAGAATTTATCCTTGAAAGGTTAGATTTTAAATCTGAAATTAGAACAACATAGAATTGTCATTGGTTTATGATTCTTCAAATTTCTCTTATCTCTAAAGAATTGGACCCATGCAGTGCAATTAGTGCCTTAGCCCTCTCTTCCCCACCTGCCTTTTGCTATGAATATAATTTTTGCTTATTAACAAAGTGTCTGCATTAAAGACATATTGAATTAAATAAAATTGAAACATTACTTCATAACAAACTGAATTAAGAAATAAATTAATTTTGTATAATAGGTAGACTGTATAAATTATTCTTGAAGTATATAAAAACACCTTTTAATTCAGTTTAAATTTTATTTTATTATTACAAGGAGCTTTCAGTACATTGCACCACTTTCATCTATTTATACTATGTATCCATTTGCTTGGACATCGTTTTTTTTTTGTTTTTTTTAGCTTATTTTTCTCTCCATCCATTCATTGATTGTCTTACTGTTTATTAAAAATATATTGTTGGAGGTGAGAGAACCTTTTCCATGCTAAAAACCCGTAAATGACCCAGTAAGAAAGGAAAAGGCCCTCTCTTTTCCCATATATTTTTAATAAACAATGACAATCAATGAATTAACAGAAAGAAAAAAAAAATTTTAAAGAACAACATCCAAGCAGATGGATACAGATTAGAAATAGGTAAATATGGTGTAATGCATTGAAAACTCCTTGCAACAATGAAATAAAATTGAGACTGAATTAAAGGGTATTTTTCTATATTTTTAAAAGTAATTTTGGAGATACGCCATTGCCCAGGGGTACCAAACTTCTAAGGCCGGCACTGTACCCATGTAAATTTGAGCATGGTACTTCTGCCCTGAAGAAGCGCACAAAAGGGCGACGCGTGGTACCAATTGAGGCGTTAACATTTTTGAAGGTTGGCACATATTTATGATGTTAAGGATTTTTTAGAGAGACACAAATATATGTTAAAACCAACTCCTTTATAATTACTTCATTATATCTTCACTGTTTGCTAAGTATTAGTAAAAAAATGTGTTAATTTATTAAATTTCCTTCCATTGTCACTAGTCTTCCATCAGATAAACTGTTTGACTGGAGATGTGCTATATTCTGAATGTTGCATAATTTAAATCTTACAATAGTTTCTCTTCTAGATAATAAGACTTTCTCTTATTTGATTGTTGGTCATTGTATTTTCTTAATAACTTTATTAAGATAATGAAAAATAAATTATCAAGCTATTTTCAAGAAACGAAAAACGTGAATATTTTTTTCACTCTTCTTGATGAAGAATTTGAAAAATTATTAAGTTCATAATTACTTTAAAAGTGAGTACTAAAATTAGGAATTTCTTGATAAATTCCTCTACAGTAGTCTATGTTGCAAAGGTGCCAGAAGGTTTTCTTTAAAGTGTACATAAAGTGCAATATGATTTATGATTAACAATTAGCAGAGTATCCGAATAGGTAATAAAGAAATTGTTTCATAGTATAAAATAAAAAGCTATTAGACACCACTGCTATCTCCTTGGTTGAGGTTTTAGACTATGAAATTCGGTTTCTGATTCGGATGGTTGTCATCTCCTTAATCATATCTAAACCTTAATCATAGATAATCCCTTAAACCGATTAGGAAATCCAATTAAATTCCACGAATTACATCATTTCTATAAATCATAGTCTTACCTCTAATAACATCGAAGCCAATTTAAAGCCTATCTCTGATAATTTTTTATTTTTCAGTAATAACTAGATACTTTAAAGGGATTTTTCCCTCTATCTGTTGTTTAAACTGAGAAATCTAAGATTCGAGGTTTGTTTTATATTTTAAGTAATGGCACACAATGCAGTATTCATTAAAACAAACGAAAACGGTCGTTTATTAATTAATTTTGCGCCATCAAAGATATGGTGAATGAAAACACTATTTCCTGGGAAATATAATCACCTGGGCGGTCACATGACGATAAGGTAGACTACAAGATGCACCACATTCTAATCATCGCTCAGCACAAATCGAATCTTACCAGCTGCAATACATAAAGAGGTGCAAACATGGATACTCATCGCCACGGGCAGATCTACTGGGAGAAAGAAGAGATTTTTGGGCTGAAGCCTCCTCCCTCTCCTTCCCAAAATGGTAAAATACAACCATGTCTTATGAAAAAAATATTTAATAATTACCTATAAAAGTATTATTGTTCATATTAAAGTATTACATTTAATAGTACTTAAATTATCATTTAGACCCTATTTCATATAGGCAGTTAGTTCCCTTCTTTTTCTTCCTACGTTATATATTTAAAAAAAAAAATCTTTCGGGCTGAAGCTCCCCTTCCCCTAAAATTAAATCCTGGATCCGCTAGAGTGCTGATCACTAGAAACCGGATTTTCGTGCAATAAAAAAACGAAGGGTGTGCAATATAAAACTCAAAGTGTTCAAAATCGTACAGTAAAATAGTGTACATAATATGCATAAATCATAGTTCATACTTAATTTATAATATTAATGCTATTCCGGGATACAGACCCCTTTTTATCGAATTATTAACATCCGCCTGAAACTTCGTAAATAGTTTTATCTACCAACAACTATTTTATTTATGAAAGCTCTTGGAATTGGGGCGTTTTCAATCTGGAGGAGGCCAAAATTTGTCTATCTAATTAGGCACTAAAAACTCGTAAATACCAATTTGCTTTCTACTTGGATCATAAGATAATTTGATCACAAAGTCGAGAAAAAAGGTGGCCTCCAAAAATATTAAACCGTTTGGCGTGACCTACACCTCCAAATTTTCAAAATAACAAGGTTATATAGGGCAAATGGCACAATATTTTTTTAGGCCACCTTTTTTTATCGATTTTGTGATCAATTTATCTTACTATCCAGGAAGAAAGCAAATGGGTATTTACGAGTTTTTAGTACCTAATTAAATAGACAAAGTTTGTTCCCCCTCCAGATTGAGAACGCCCCAATTCCAAGAGTTTTCGTAAATAAAATAGTTGAAGGTTACGGTGAGGTGAAACGATTTACGATGAAGTTTCAGGCGGATGTTAATTATTCGATAGAAAGCGGCATGTACCACAGACTAGAACGTGTAGAAAAATCTAATTCTAATTTAAAATGAACGAAGATTAACCTAATTCTGTACGAAAGAAAACCAGCTTACAAAAAATTATTCATATATTTTTTTAAAACGGTGCATTTTTGAATTGAGGCTTGATTTTACAGC